CCCCCCCCCCCCCCCCCCAACTTGGCCCAAGCCTCTGCACGCGAGTGGGAAGGGCACTTCGGGCCGCAATCCGACCAGTACCGAGGCCAGCGTGTGCACGACGCTCAGCCCGCCTGCTTGGAGGTTCAGGGGGCAGTTAGAAGTGGGGTTATCAATAGGGTTCCTTTAAAGGGTTCTATAGGGTTTATATAGGGTTTAGGGTTTAGGGTTTAGGGGTAGTTATAAGTGGGGTTATAAGTCCCCTAATTGGGGTTATAACTACAGTTACCCTACTTATAACCTCATTTATAACTACCCATGAACCTCCAAGTGCAGCTCGTGGGTTTCAAGGTTTCGGGTGAGGCCGCCCAGTTCTGTGAGGCTTCTGGTTTAGGGTTTAGAGTTTTAGAGTTTAGGGTTTAGGGTTTAGGGCCCTTAATCCTACACTCCCACCCTGAAACCTTCAGAAGGCTCTGAGGTATGTGGTGGATCTATTCGGCCCTCCTTCAGGATTCAGAGCTTGCTGTGGCAAAGTGGTTGGCTCCAGAGCCTGTGCCAGGCACTTCAGTTCATGCGGCACAGGAACCCCAAACCCTCAACCTAAACCCCTGAACCCTGAACACCTAAAACCCAAAACTTCCAAACGTGTAGTCTGAAGTCGGAGGATTTCTAGAAGCCTTGACTCAAACCGACGACAAGGGGGCTTAATCATCAGAAGAAGGTTTTGTGGTATTGATACAATCTACTGGGGAATCCATCCGGCGATGGCGCCGCGCCGGCCCTCGAGGTCTCAAACCACGGGGGCCAAGATGCCGAGTTGAAGACGTGGGACTGCAGGGTTTAGGCTTCAGGGTGTCGGATCTCGGCTTCAGCCTTGCTAATGTTGAAGCCTTAATAATTAGAATGGGGCTTTGGGGTATATTATACTGGAAGTATAATAAGGAACCCCCCAAATAGTATAGGTGAGTATGACAGCCCCTCTGTTAAGTTTATGGTGTTTCAGGCTTTGGATCTGGATCTCCAAGCCCAGGGTGCTTTGGTTTGAGGAAGTCCGAAACAAACCCGGAACCGTAAGCCTAAACCCTCGATTTCCTCGTGGCCCTAAACTCTAAACCCTCCTCTCAACCCTTGAACCCTAATACCTTCAGAAGCGCTCCCTTACATTTGAACCCTTCGGGAACCCTGTTAGGAAAAGCCTAAACTCCCTAAACCCTAAACCCTGATAGAACAACCCTGCCTGATAGAACAACCTTTAAAGCGCAAACCTTAAACATTAAACCCTGATAGAACAATGATAGAACAACCCTACCTGATAGAACAACCCTGAACCCCTAAACCCTGAACTTTCCTAAACCCTAAACCCTGATAGAACAAAACCACCTGATAGAACAATCCTAAACCCCTAAACCCCCAAAGTTTCCGAAACCATAAACTCCAAACTTTCCTAAACCCTAAACCACGCCTCGTGCGTTTGCATCGGCATCCGAGGCTGCGACGCCCGCAGCCAAGGCTGCCTCGGGTTTCGATGAGGGGTGTCTACCCTAAACCCTAAACCCTAAACCCTAAGGGGGCCCATAGGAGCTTGAGACCCAGGGCCTCGGGTTGTGTGAGGGGGTTCAGGAATTTCCGCGCAAAACGCAGGCCTTTTCACCCTGACGCAGCTAGGAGTCTGAAGATGTTGCATCCTGTGCTGCTGGGAATGGAACCTCATGCAGTCAGGTCCGAAAGGCATAATTCGCTGGATCTAAAACTATGAGGATCCTTTGTCCTCAACTAGGATGAGCTCAAAATCAGAGTCTAAGCATACCTGCAAGCTTGAAAAAGTGGCACCGGCCACAAAGCTATACACTTCGGCGTCTTCATCGAGTTCCTCCGCTTATGGGAGGATGGCCTTGGAAG